TTACTCTACCCAGCAAGGATCTCATTCAGATTTGATGGAGAAATTAAAACCTTTACAGACAAGCAAAAGCTGAGAGAGTTCAGCACCACCAAACCAGCTTTACAACAAATGCTAAAGGAACTTCTCTAGACAAAAACACAAGAGAAGGAAAAGTCCTATAATAACGAACCCAAAACAATTTAGAAAATGGGAATAGGAACATACATATCGATAATTACCTTAAATGTAAATGGACTAAATGCTCCCACCAAAAGACACAGATTGGCTGAATGGATACAAAAACAAGACCCATATATATGCTGTCTACAAGAGACCCACTTCAGACCTAGAGACACATACAGACTGAAAGTAAGGGGATGGAAAAAGATATTCCATGCAAATGGAAACCAAAAGAAAGCTGGAGTAGCAATTCTCATATCAGACAAAATAGACTTTAAAATAAGGACTATCAGAAGAGACAAAGAAGGACACTACATAATGATTAAGGGATCGATCCAAGAAGAAGATATAACAATTGTAAATATTTATGCACCCAACATAGGAGCACCTCAATACATAAGGCAAAAACTAGCAGCCATAAAAGGGGAAATCGACAGTAACACATTCATAGTAGGGGACTTCAACACCCCACTTTCACCAATGGACAGATCATCCAAAATGAAAATAAATAAGGAAACACAAGCTTTAAATGATACATTAAACAGGATGGACTTAATTGATATTTATAGGACACTCCATCCAAAAACAACAGAATACACATTTTTCTCAAGTGCTCATGGAACATTCTCCAGGATAGATCATATCTTGGGTCACAAATCAAGCCTTGGTAAATTTAAGAAAATTGAAATTATATCAAGTATCTTTTCCGACCACAACGCCATGAGATTAGATATCAATTATAGGAAAAGAGCAGTAAAAAATACAAACACATGGAGGCTAAACAATACACTACTTAGTAACGAAGTGATCACTGAAGAAATCAAAGAGGAAATTAAAAAATACCTAGAAACAAATGACAATGGAGATACAACGACCCAAAACCTATGGGATGCAGCAAAAGCAGTTCTAAGAGGGAAGTTTATAGCAATACAAGCCCACCTTAAGAAGCAGGAAACATCTCGAATAAACAACCTAACCTTGCACCTCAAGCAATTAGAGAAAGAAGAACAAAAAAACCCCAGAGTTAGCAGAAGGAAAGAAATCATAAAAATCAGATCAGAAATAAATGAAAAAGAAATGAAGGAAACAATAGCAAAGATCAATAAAACTAAAAGCTGGTTCTTTGAGAAGATTAACAAAATTGATAAACCATTAGCCAGACTCATCAAGAAAATAAGGGAGAAGACTCAAATCAATAGAATCAGAAATGAAAAAGGAGAAGTAACAACTGACACTGCAGAAATACAAAAAATCATGAGGGATTACTACAAGCAACTCTATGCCAATAAAATGGACAATCTGGAAGAAATGGACAAATTCTTAGAAATGCACAAACTGCCAAGACTGAATCAGGAAGAAATAGAAAATATGAACAGACCAATCACAAACACTGAAATTGAAACTGTGATTAAAAATCTTCCAACAAACAAAAGCCCAGGACCAGATGGCTTCACAGGCGAATTCTATCAAACATTTAGAGAAGAGCTAACACCTATTCTTCTCAAACTCTTCCAAAATATAGCAGAGGGAGGAACACTCCCAAACTCATTCTACGAGGCCACCATCACCTTGATACCAAAACCAGACAAGGATGTCACAAAGAAAGAAAACTACAGGCCAATATCACTGATGAACATAGATGCAAAAATCCTCAACAAAATACTAGCAAACAGAATCCAACAGCACATTAAAAGGATCATACACCATGATCAAGTGGGGTTTATTCCAGGAATGCAAGGATTCTTCAATATACGCAAATCTATCAATGTGATTAACCATATTAACAAATTGAAGGAGAAAAACCATATGATCATCTCAATAGATGCAGAGAAAGCTTTTGACAAAATTCAACACCCATTTATGATAAAAACCCTGCAGAAAGTAGGTGTAGAGGGAACTTTCCTCAATATAATAAAGGCCGTATATGACAAGCCCACAGCCAACATCATCCTCAATGGCGAAAAACTGAAAGCATTTCCACTAAGGTCAGGAACAAGACAAGGTTGCCCACTCTCACCACTCTTATTCAACATAGTTTTGGAAGTTTTAGCCACAGCAATCAGAGAAGAAAAGGAAATAAAAGGAATCCAAATCGGAAAAGAAGAAGTAAAGCTGTCACTGTTTGCAGATGACATGATACTATACATAGAGAATCCTAAAGATGCTACCAGAAAACTACTAGAGCTAATCAATGAATTTGGTAAAGTAGCAGGATACAAAATTAATGCACAGAAATCTCTGGCATTCCTATATACTAACGATGAAAAATCTGAAAGTGAAATCAAGAAAACACTCCCATTTACCATTGCAACAAAAAGAATAAAATATCTAGGAATAAACCTACCTAAGGAGACAAAAGACCTGTATGCAGAAAATTATAAGACACTGATGAAAGAAATTAAAGATGATACAAACAGATGGAGAGATATACCATGTTCTTGGATTGGAAGAATCAACATTGTGAAAATGACTCTACTTCCCAAAGCAATCTATAGATTCAATGCAATCCCTATCAAACTACCACTGGCATTTTTCACAGAACTAGAACAAAAAATTTCACAATTTGTATGGAAACACAAAAGACCCCGAATAGCCAAAGCAATCTTGAGAACAAAAAAAAAATGGAGCTGGAGGAATCAGGCTGCCTGACTTCAGACTATACTACAAAGCTACGGTAATTAAGACAGTATGGTACTGGCACAAAAACCGAAAGATCAATGGAACAGGATAGAAAGCCCAGAGATAAACCCATGCATATATGGTCACCTTATCTTTGATAAAGGCGGCAGGAATGTACAGTGGAGAAAGGACAGCCTCTTCAATAAGTGGTGCTGGGAAAATTGGACAGGTACATGTAAAAGTATGAGATTAGATCACTCCCTAACACCATACACAAAAATAAGCTCAAAATGGATTAAAGACCTAAATGTAAGGCCAGAAACTATCAAACTCTTAGAGGAAAACATAGGCAGAACACTCTATGACATAAATCACAGCAAGATCCTTCTTGACCCATCTCCTAGAGTAATGGAGATAAAAACAAAAATAAACAAATGGGACCTAATGAAACTTCAAAGCTTTTGCACAGCAAAGGAAACCATAAACAAGACCAAAAGACAGCCCTCAGAATGGGAGAAAATATTTGCAAATGAATCAACTGACAAAGGATTAATCTCTAAAATTTACAGGCAGCTCATGCAGCTCAATAACAAAAAAATAAACAACCCAATCCAAAAATGGGCAGAAGACCTAAATAGACATTTCTCCAAAGAAGATATACAGACTGCCAACAAACACATGAAAGAATGCTCAACATCATTAATCATTAGAGAAATGCAAATCAAAACTACAATGAGATATCATCTCACACCAGTCAGAATGGCCATCATCAAAAAATCTAGAAACAATAAATGCTGGAGAGGGTGTGGAGAAAAGGGAACACTCTTGCACTGCTGGTGGGAATGTGAATTGGTTCAGCCACTATGGAGAACAGTATGGAGGTTCCTTAAAAAACTACAAATAGAACTACCATATGACCCAGCAATCCCACTACTAGGTATATACCCTGAGGAAACCAGAATTCAGAAAGAGTCATGTACCAAAATGTTCATTGCAGCTCTATTTACAATAGCCCGGAGATGGAAACAACCTAAGTGCCCATCGTCGGATGAATGGATAAAGAAGATGTGGCACATATATACAATGGAATATTACTCAGCCATAAAAAGAAACGAAATTGAGCTATTTGTAATGAGGTGGATAGATCTAGAGTCTGTCATACAGAGTGAAGTAAGTCAGAAAGAGAAGGACAAATACCGTATGCTAACACATATATATGGAATTTAAGAAAAAAAAATGTTATGAAGAACCTAGGGGTAAAACAGGAATAAAGACACAGACCTAGTGGAGAACAGACTTGAGGATATGGGGAGGGGGAAGGGTGAGCTGTGATAGGGCGAGAGAGAGACATGGACATACATATACTAACAAACGTAAGGTAGATAGCCAGTGGGAAGCCGCCGCATGGCACAGGGATTCTGGCTCGGTTCTTTGTGGCTGCCTGGAGGGGTGCGATAGGGAGGGTGGGAGGGAGGGAGACAAAGAGGGAAGAGATGGGAACATATGTATATGTATAACTGATTCACTCTGTTATAAAGCAGAAACTAACACACCATTGTAAAGCAATTATACCCCAATAAAGATGTTAAAAAAAAAAAAAGGTAGAACATTCAATGTAAAAGCTAAGGATGCCATGTTTATTTCTAGTGGAATAGTGTTTCTAATGGATGGTAGAGTTGGGAAAGAGGACATCATGGGAGAGGAAACATTAAACAATTATGGGATGAGTTTTTTTCATTCATTTAATAAACTTATTATATACCCTTTTCATACCAGGCACTGTCCAGTAAACAAGATAGATATGGCCCTTGCTCACTTGAAGCTAAATGTAGCTGTTTTAATTAATTAAAATTAAATACAATTGAAAATTCAGTTCCTTAGTCACACTAGGTGCATTTCAAGGGCTTAATAGTTAGTGACTACCATATTGGACAGCACAAATATGGAATATTTTGATCATTGCAGAAAGTTCTATTGTAGAGGATGTAAAAGGAAATGGAATGGATTACCAAGGGCTTACAATCTGGATAATAATGAAGGATGCTTGTGGCTAAGAGGTCCATTGGGATTAATGAACTTTGAGATTCTGCATGGCATTTTGGCATTAGGCATTTCCTTACCAATGCCAACAGAGACAAAATGTGACCTTGCTATAGCCTATTCCAAACTGTAATCCCTTATGTTAATCATTGTCTTTCTTTACCTTTATTTGCATCTCTCAGGTGTGGCCACCTGGAGGGGGATGCTAAAGAAGTATCCCCTATCTTCACACAGTTCCTAGACTGTATCTGGCAGTTAATGGAACAATTTCCTTGTGCCTTTTAGTTTAATGAATATTTCTTGCCAGAAATTCATGACCATCTTTTCTCCTGCCAGTTTCGGAACTTCCTTGGAAACTGCCAGAAGGATCAAGAAGATCTGAGGTGAATTCAGTTTGTGAAAAAACACTGAATAGGGAGAGGTGATCAGTGTAAAAGAAATTTACCCACCACCTTGAATTTGGGACAGCAGTTCACAAAAGGGGAGGAGCTGACAACTATAAAAATATCTTTTGAAGCATAAATCACTCAGTGTTTGCATGGAGATTCCTCAAAACCTCAGATTCTTTATCTGTGAAATAGAGCAATCCTGAGGAACCAGTAAAACAATGGATGTGCAAGGACTTTGTAAGGAATGAACTACTGTGCAGGTGTGAGTAATCAATAGCTACAGTCCTTTATCATTTGTGTCAGAGATCACCAAATGGCAGTTCATAGGCCAAATCTAGCTTAACAGGTATATTTTGTTTAGTCCGTGGAGTATTCTTTAAACTGTGAATAAGTTGTCAACATTTAAATATCATGATATTTCACATAAAAATCCAGTTATTTTAGGATTTTTTCTTAAATCAAAAAGCTGTTGTGCCAAGATATTCTGCAAAATCAGGAGCTCTGGCAGTACTGGACCTGCATTTTCTAATGGAAGTAATCAGCTAAAGCTGAATAACAGCTGCTCTACTTGAATGAAGCACTCACTCTCGTTTGCCACAGTTCTCACCACTCTCTATAGTTTATTCTCAGCGCACTTCTAATGTTATCTTCCCAGCTCCTATAGGCAGTTGAATTTGCACCAGACTTAAAACTCTAACATCCTCACAATATATAAAACGTAAATAATTTTTGAGGTTGACAAGATAGAGTTTCTGTGAATAGCATTCTCCTTGTTTTAGAGTCAGAGAAAATGAAATAGAGAGGGAAGTAGCTGTCGCACAGCCCACTCTTCTTTCATAGCTGTTGGTTGAGTGGCAGTTAGCTCAAGTTCTCAGACCCCTCTATGATGTATCTTGGATGAATTGGATGACATCTCTAATTCTGTTTTCTTGTCAACACAGAGATGGATCCTCTGCTTTAACATTTGTTCTTACTTGGTAGCTTCTACACACATTTCTATTTCATTTTGCAACTAGACGTTTCTTACCCTCTTCGCAGACGCTTTCAGACACATTCATTCTGTCTCTGACCTGCTTTTCTAGCATTAAAATCTAAAATCTTTTCCATATTCCTTTTTCCACCCTCTTAAAGTGAGGCTAATATATCCTAGACCCATTCCACACACAAATCTGAATCTCCATGTAAAAGTACAAAAGTTGAAAATTTTAACATGTTAAAATAGTGATTGCATAAAATAAACAGAAATATCATTCATCCATAAAAGAAAAGGCATAGACTCTAGAATCAGAGAGACTGGGGTTCAGATTTTGGCTCTGTCACCTACTAGCTATGTGACTTTTTTCAAATTATTTTTGGTCTCATTTTCTCATTATTATTTTGGAGATAAAATATTTCACAGAGTTTTATTATGAAAATTTAATGAAGTATTTTAGGTAGAGTCTGGAACAGTGTTTCACACATAGTACATACTCAACAAATACTAGTTACCTTACCTCTGCAAGATTTTTTTTCAACCAAAAACAAATGAGAAAGATGGATATACAAGTCCTTTGACCTCATTGAAATGGTCTGAGGATTCTAAAAGTTACAAGACTACAATGTTTGGGTCCTACAACCCATACCACTTCTCTTTGTTGTCCTCCTTGAGCTTTCTTTGACACTGTGTGAGTAAATGAACTACCCATGCATTGTTACGCAGCAGCTCTCATTGGGACAATGGATCCCATGTTTTTTGCAGTGTTAACTAAGTGGCTCCTGAAGGACTCAACTAAGGTATAAGAAGAATCAGTCTTGCAATATAAACATCACAGTCTGTGCTGCTCATCTAGATAACTCACAAATATTTGCTAATATAAATTGCTAATTGTCTTTCACTGTCTTACACCTTCTGAGAGGAGGAGAAGCTGGCTTGAAATAAAATAAAATATAGAAAATCCAGAAATTCACCCTCTAGTCTTTCTGTTAACTTACCAGATTTTTAAAAGCAATTCTAGATTTTTTAAAACTGGGAAGGTCATTAGTTAATAGAATCTGAGATTTGGAAGAGACCTTAAAGGTCATATTTTACAAATGAGGAAATAGTCCCAGAAAGAGCTAGGGACATTCCTCAGATTACATAGCTACTCCATGGCAGAGACTATACTCAGCATCTGTTGCTCTTCAATGTGGAACTCTTTCTAACCTCTAATTCATTTAAAAATGGGTAAGTTGAAGCCCAGATAATTTGTTACTCTATCAGTGTTCATTACCACTTATTTTCACTTTCCTTCTATCATATCCTATCCCTCTGTCTTGAATTAGGTTAATTGTTAATAAAATTTGGATGATTATCAAGTTCAACAGGACTGTTGATTTTACTTGCTTGCTGCTTTTAATTTTTTGGCTTGCTTTTGTTTTCTGACAGAATCTATGAGAAAACCCATTCCGTGTGGCCTTTCTTGGTTCAGAGGAAACAAGACTTCAGGAACCCTCTCTATAAAGGCTTCATTGTGTATGGGGTACTCAATCCTAGTACTGTGCCCTACAACATTCAGTAAGTTCCTAAGCTGTCCCATCCTTTCTTACAGCAAGCCCAGGGCCTCAGCTGCTTTGCCTCTCCTTTTATAGCTGACATCATCTCCATAAGCCTGGCTATGGAGTAGGACACTCTCTCCCCAGATCACCCATTCCTTGCTGCCTCTGCAAACAAGACCACACTCCCTTTGATTGTTGTTACTTGATGAGGGAAATAAACAAGAAAAAATAGTTGATTTGTAGTAATACAACCATTCAAGATGTAGGTTGTTTCATTCCTTTGAGTCTTTCCTTGTATATTCCTCTTCTTTCCCGTCCTTTTCCCCAACAAAGAGAAGGAAAAACAGAGAAAGAGAATGTGCTGGTATTGTTTGCTCTACTTTCCCCAAAAAGTGTAAAGTATAGGGTGCCATGTTCACTGACCACAACTCAATGAGTACAAGACAGAACTGAATGCATTTATTAAGTCTAGCGGTTTATTTTGTATATTCATTAGGATTTTATATATGTAAGATCATGTCATTTCTGAATAGAGATTGTTTTACTTATTCCTTTCCAATTTGGATGCCTTTTATTTTCTTGCCTAATGCCCTGTTTAGAACTTAGAGTGTTGAATAGAAGTAGTGAAAGCAGGCATCCTTGTACTGTTCCTGATCTTAGGGGGAAACCTTTTGGTCTTTCTCCATTGAGTATGTTATATTTTTGTTTTGTTTTGTTTTACAAATGACCTTTATCACGGTTAGGACATTCCTGTCTGTTCCTAGTTTGTTGAGTGCTTTTGTGATGAAAGGGTGTTAGATTATATCAGATGTTTTCCTGAATCATGTTGAGATGCAGATGACTATGTGTTATTTTCTCCTTAATTTTATTTATTTATTTTTGTTTCTTTTTTGTTTGGCCATGCCACACAGCTTGCAGGATCTCAGTTCCCTGACCAGGGATTGAATCCAGGCCACAGTAGTGAAAGCCCAGAATCCTAACCACTAGGCCACCAGGGAACTCCCTCTCCTTAATTTTATTAATATGGTGTATAAATTTGATTGATTTTCAGATGTTGAACCACCTGTGCTTTCCTAGGGTAAATCCCACTTGGCCATGGTGTATAATCCTCTTAATATGCTGCTGCATTCAGTTGGCTACTATATTGTTGAGAATTTTTACATCTATATTCATAAAGCATATTAATCTACATTTTTTTTGTGATGTCCTGGTCTGGCTTTGGTATCAGGGTAATGGTGACCACATAGAATGAGCTGGGAGTGTTCCATTCTCTTCAATATTTGGAATAGTTTGAGAACGATTGTTGTTAATTCTATAACTGTTTGGTGGAATTCACCAGTGAAGCCATCTCGTCCTGGATTTTTCTTCGTGGGGAAGTTTTTTGATTACTGAATCTGTGTCTTTACTTGTTATAGGCCTGTTCAAATGTTTTATTCCTTCTTGAGTCATTTTTGGTAGTTTCTATGTTTCTAGAAATTCATCCATTTCATCTGTCTAATTTGTTGGCATGCAATTGTTCAGGATATTCTCTCATATTTTTCTTTATTTCTGTAAGTTCAGTAGTAACATCCCTAATTTAATTTATGATTTTAGTAATTTGAGACTTTTCTCTTTTTTCTTTTATTTTTTGAGGCCAAAATACTTTAATATCCAAAGCATCCTGTACGTAAACTGGATAATACATATTAAATTATACATTTCTATGATATTTAGGGGTTTTGGGGACATTTTTCCCACTTCATTGAGATATAATTGACATATAACATGGTGTAAGTTTAAGGTGTACAATGTGGTGATCTGATACATGTAAATATTGTGAAATGCTTACCACAATAAGATCAGTTAGCACATCCTCTACCTCATGCAATTACCATTTTGCTGTTGCTGTTGTTATGGTGAGAATATTAAAGCTCTGCACTCATAGCAAAAATATGGAACAATTCAAAAATTTGCATGTTATTCTTTCACACATGCCATGCTAATCCCTGTATCATTCCAATTATATTATATGTGCTTCTAAAGTGAGCACTCTCATTGTTTTTAATCAGTTTAGCTTAAAGTTTTGTTGAATTTATTGATCATTTCAAAGAACCAATTTTAGTTTTGTTGATTTTCTCTATTTTTTATAATCTTTATTTCTTTTATCTCTGTTCTAATCCTTATTATTTCTTTCCTTATGCTGACTTTGGTTTTAATTTGCTCTTCTTTTTTAGTTTCATAAGGTATAAAGTGATTTACTTGAGATCTTTCTTCTTTTTTAGTGAATGTATTTACAGCCATAAATTTCCTTCTTAGCAGTTCTTTCTCTGTATCCCATAAGTTTTGGTATATTGTGTTTTTGTTTATACCCATCCCAAAGTATTTTTAAATTTGAATTTCAGACAAACAAAAAATAATTTTCTTAAAAAGCTTGGATGTTATGTCCCTTTAATGCATTTAAAGACAGTTCTAAAGTGTACACAGAAATGGAATTGAAAGTTACAGTTAAAAATTAAGGTGAGGTGGATGGACCTAGAGTCTGTCATACAGAGCGAAGTAAGCCAGAAAGAGAAAAACAAATACCGTATGCTAACACATATATATGGAATCTAAGGAGAAAAAAAGAAAAAAAAAAAGGTCATGAAGAACCTAGGGGTAAGACTGGAATAAAGACACAGATCTACTAGAGCATGGACTTGAGGATAAGGGGAGGAGGAGGGGTAGGCTGTGACGAGGTAAGAGAGTGGCATGGACATATATATACTACCAAGCGTAAAGTGGATAGCTAGTGAGAAGCAGCCGCATAGCACAGGGAGATCAGCTAGGTGGTTTGTGACAGCCTAGAGGGGTGGGATAGGGAGGGTGGGAGGGAGGGAGACTCAGGAGGGAAGAGATATGGGAACATGTGTATATGTATAACTGATTCACTGTTATAAAGCAGAAACTAACACACCATTGTAAAGCAATTATACTACAATAAAGATGTTTTAAAAAAAGCAAGAAATGGTGAATTGGGGCGTTCAAGGCACAGCTTCTCTCATCTCCCTTGGTGTCATCTTCACCCAGGTGAAACCCCCTGGACATCCCTTTTCCCATGTAGGTTCCAGGAAGCAGTCAGTTAAATCACTTTCTTCCTTAAAGGTCTATGGAATACATTCGAAGGAAGGGAATATGTGGGTTGAAGGGGATGTGTGTGTTTATAATTTGTTAGTAGCTGATGCCAGATTAGCCTTAGTTGTTTCTTCTTGAGCCTGACCCTCTTGTTGGGGTCGTCTGCTCCTCTCTCTCAGCAGGCAGAGCTTGACTTCCCAGACCAACCCCTCTACTTACTTCTTTCAGGAGACAGCCCTGCCCTTTTCCCCTGACCTGTTTCATCAACAATTTAGGGTTCTGACCAGTGCTGTGATGAGCTATATTGGAGCCTATTGCAATGGGCCTGTATCCATGCTTCCCCTCTCCCACTACCCTGTTCTCTGTATCTATGTGTTTGTCTTGTTTTGTTTGTTCATTTTTCTTTTTATTCCACATATAAGTGAAATCATACAGGATTTGTCTTTCTCCATCTGACTTGTTTCACTCAACATAAAACCCTTAATATCCATCCATGTTGTCACTAATGGCAAGATTTTGGCTTTTTATGGCTGAGTAGTATTCCATTGTGTATTTTGTGTGTGTGTGTTTGTGTGTGTGTACACATATATGACATCTTCTTTATCCATTCATCCATCAGTGAGCACTTGGGTTGTTTCCATACATACCTAGGCTATTGTAGATAAAGCTGCAACAAATATAGTGGTTGTGTGCTATTGTAAATAAAGCTGCAACAAATATAGGGGTTGTATGTGTCTTTTCAAATTATTATTTTTGTATTCTTCAGATGAATACCCAGAAGTGGATTAGCTGGATATTATGATATTTCTGTTCTTAACTTTTTGAGGCATATCCATACTTCTTTCCACAGTGGCTGCATCAAGTTACATTCCAATTAGCAGTTCACAAGGACTCCCTTTTCTCCACATCCTTTCCAACACCTGTTGTTTCTTGCCTTTTTGATACTAGCCATTCTGATGGGCATGAGGTGATATATTGTGGTTTTGATTTGCATTTCCCTAATAATTAGTGATGTTGAACATCTTTTCATGTGCCCGTTGGCCACCTGTATTTCTTCTTTGGAAAAATGTCTCTTCAGATCCTCTGCTCATTTTTTAATCATATTGTTTATTTTGTTGTTGAGTTGTATGAGTTCTTTATATATTTTGGATATTAACCCCATATCAGATATATGATTTGCAAATAAGTTTTCCCATTTGGTAGGTTGTCCTTTCATTTTGCTGATGGTTTCCTTTACTGTACAGAAGCTTTTTAGTTTGATTCAGTCCCATTTGTTTGTTTTTTGCTTTTGTCTTTCTTGCCCGAGGAAAATATCCATAAAGATATTGCTAAGACCAGTGTCAAACAGTGTACTGCTTACGTTTTCTTCTAGGGGGTTTATGGTTTCAGGTCTTGTATTCAAGGATTTAATCCATTTTGATTTGATTTTTGTGTCTGGTATGAGATAGTGGTCTAGTTTCATTTCTCTTTGTATGTGGATTGTCCAGTTTTCCTAACACCATTTATTAAAGACATACATTTCTCCATTGTACATTCTTTGTTCTTTTGTCATAAGTTAATTGTTCATATATGCATGAGTTTATTTCTTTGCTATCATTTCTGTTTCATTGGTCTATGTGTCTTTTTTCTGCCAATGCTATGCTGTTTTGATACTGCAGCTTAGTGGTATACTTTGAAATCAGGGAGGATGATACCTCCACTTTGTTCTTTTTCCTCAGGATTTATTTTGCTATTCAGGGTTTTTTAAAGATCCAAATAAATTTTCAGATGTTTTGTTCTATTTCTGTGAAAAATGTCATTGGGGTTTTGATAGGGATTGTATTGAATCAGTAGATCGCTTTAGGTAATATGGACATTTTAACAATGTTAATTCTTCTAAGCCACAACCACGGAATATCTTTCCATTTCTTTGTGTCTTTTCAGTTTATT